GTGTTGGGACATTCTTTTGAACAGTGGCTGCTTTGTTTCCCCGATGTATAACTGGTCGCAGTCCTCCTGGCAATGTTGTATATGCTGTTAAGGGGTCTGTCCTGAGTTTTAAAAGTCAAGACTAAAATTTTAAAATCTGCTCTGATTTTGACAGGTAACTAATTTAAACTCTACTGTTAAGTACAGATAAAAACACATTTTGTTACCAGATCCAATATACATTTTCCTGTCCCTACAAGTTGAAACATATATAAATCTAAATTAGATTCCGGTTGCTTATAATGTACACAACCAGTTCACAACAATACGTCCATATTCCCATACTTCTGCAGCTTTTATCCACATTATGGGGAGATTTACTGCAGCAGTGGCTAATTCTGATAATAAACTTTATATCTATTTCAGTGACTCTAGTRCTGAAGTGCTGATTACAGCCTCACTGATTTTAATGACGTTCAGTTATGTGTGGTTGTAATCTCTGAGACCACATTGGGTAATGATCAGTGAGCTCTCAAGAGGGCGAAAGGCAACATTAACACAACAGGGCTTTCAAAACCTAATTCTGCGCTTCTACTTTGTGAAATCATGTATCTTAAAAAAAGCAATTAGAACTGTGTCTAACCTTATGGTTGAATTGATTTGTCACCGTTTTTCAAGCGKAGTGTTTTTGTTGACGCGGCGTAGGCAGGAATAAAACATTTAAACCGAGGAATTGGTGTGAATCATTTCAGCGAACTGACATGAAAACCTTTTATTTATGGGTTTGTTGTTTTCACTTTGTCACTTACTAATGCTGTTTGCTTCCTGCAAGAATTGAAGGTCACACCCTTTAGAAAAAATTACAGCTCCAAACTGCATCATTTTTCAGTTTTTTTTATGTATTTTTTATTTATTTTTTTGCTCACATTGTCCCTGAAGATCGCTCAAGGCTTACTTAAACCCTGATAGGATTCATACACCTGCCTATCAATCTGGAAGGGAAAAAAAGTCAGCTTTCCCTCCTGAACTTCCACTAAAGTTGGTTTTGGGAGGATAGCAGGTTCCTTATCTGTCAGCTGCAGTGTTTTGATGTGTTTTGACATCGTTGTTTGTGACTGATGGGGTCCCTCGGTTGAATAAATCCTGCTGTTTAGCTGCTGAAGTGATGAAGCGAGGAGTGACAGCCTGACAGATGGAACACAAAGCTTCGACTGGCGATTTTTCTACCTGGGACAGTGTTGTGTGTGTGTATGTGTGTGCGTGTTGCGATAAAGCATTTTGTAACCATCTCTCGTTCCGTGTGTCTGTGTTTGTTTGTGTATCAGGCCTTTTCCATCTGAGGACACAGCTCTGAATGAAGATGATGTGTACCGGAGYCTGGAGGAGTTGGCTGAGTAAGTGTGCATTCTACACAGAAAACCCACCCACACAGCCTGTTTTTAATCACCAGGGGGGACATTCMGTATTATTTATCTGGAGGCCTTTCCCCTAATCTTAACATTTTTCAAATCTTAGCCAAAAAACATCTGAAGCCTGAAGGGAAATTAATTAACCTTAGTTTAACTTTGTTTACTCCCAGTGAAACAACAGAACAGAAAATATTTTTCTTATTCTTAAAGCTGTAGTTCTGATCTTTAGCAGTGAGATTCTGTGGAGCGGTTATGAACAATAAAAATTAACATCATTCAATCAGTCAAACAAGCAAGCAGTTTACATTTTTTTGTTTTGTTCTTTTCAAGCTCAGGGAAACCAAAAATGGTTTACAGAGCCATATATATATATATATGTGTGTGTGTGT